AAAAAACCTTTTGATAAATAGTATAATACAAAGTATCTCTAATATTTATTTTAATTTTAAAGTACTTAAATGTATTTCTATTGTTTTATAAAGTTAAAAATTAAAAAATTTATAATTTCCTTTTCCTTCAAAAATTAAAATAGAAGCACCTTCGGATAAATAAAAAAATATCGTGCGTTAAAAAAAACGCCCATGTGTTTAGTGCAGGGTTTGGAATGAATGCATTCAATTCTAAAAAAAAAACTGAACAACTCACTTTTCTATTTCATTCCCATTCCAAACTTCCACGGTAGCCGCGTCATGTCCCTTGTACAGTGTACACATATTTGTACAGATACATTACGCTCTTCATTGTAGATCATACCTCAACATTGATATGCCCATCATACTTGATCAGCAAGTAAGGGTTGTATGACACAACAAACTCATTTCCTACTTGGTGACCTCTGACGTTAGCTTCGAGTCCGTTATTTGGTCTGCGGTACGTCAGGTAACCGCTGTCGGAAATGTATAAAGTCTCTTCGCTGTACTCTTTTGAGTAGTTTTTTTGAGCAACTGTTGTCCACCATACACGGACTATTATGGTTAAGCTGTCCACACGGTCCACGAATCATGTGTGATGTCACACTGTTAAATAGGTGTCTGTCAGTTGCCGGGTCTGGCAAACAGGCACATACCACATCGTCAACGTCGTCGGCAGTATGCAACTTACTGTCTTCTTGCAAGATAATGATTATGTGGGCGTGCGGAAGATTTCGTTTCTGAAACTCAATAGTATAAACGTAAGCATCAACATTACCAAACACCTTAGTAACTGTTATATCACGCATTAGATTCTTAAGTTTTGCATGGAACACCCTTGCCACCAAATCTGGCCTGTCGTTAGTTTTCAACCAATTTGGAATGTTGTCAACAATCTCTGGCCGCTTAGGCTTACATGTAAACGTTATGAACAGGTCAGGTTTACCGTACTTACGCACAATGGCCATTGCGTCATGGTAACATTGTTTCATGTGACGGGGGCCACCTACAAACGTCGATGGCAAAATCATCCTACGACCGACAGGATCGATTTTATCTACATGAAGTTGTTGATTTATGTGGTCCACAAGCCCCTAATACGCTTCGGCAAACAGCGTCCTTTGATTGTCTCAAGTGTAGCGTAAATTATTCGCTTCCATCCGAACGTACTGATCACACACGTACTGCTGTAACAAAAAACCACCGGCATGCAATAAACTTAATGTTTGGCCGTCATTCCTATTTCCATTATTTCCTGTATATCGAATAGCCAGGCGGGAACACACAAACTCTCTGATGGTGTTCCGAACGCGAACAGCATTGCGACGGTTGCCTTCTTGTAGCAGGTTGTAGTGCCAACCGGTTTCTCCATACGGGAAGAACAGTGGATACAGCATAGGATCCGCATGAGGTAAGCCTACTGATATGCTTTGCATCCGATGTTGTGGGTTGACTGGGTTCGTGTCATAGATGACCAGATCAAGGTTCTTTGGTAGTAGCCCGTCGTCACCAACGAATATGACTGCTACTTCATTTCAGTTATCATGCAGCCCGGATTTCAACGGAACGGGTTTCGAACCTGCCTACCTAATGTCGGAGAACCTCGTCCCGTAGCTTGTTACAAAAACGGCAATTGAGTGTCATCGCCCGTTACGGTGAAAGTCGATACCTGACAGAGCAATCCGATTTCGGCGGATTGGATTAATTTCCCGTGGATCGCCCGATGCTTTTGAGTATGGAAAATAAATAAATACACTCCGAAAGGGTTATTAAGTGTCTAGTTATCAGTCATCGTCCAGTGAATATCGATTCCTGACAGGGCAATCCACCTGCGGCGGATTGTCATACCTCCTGACGTCGAAGGCGTTGTGTCGTTTAGTACGCAAAAAAGTTTAAGTCGAATCGAGCCCTCGATTTCTCAAGCGATCACCATTGAAAATCCAGTTAAACGCGTTTAAACTTCCCAGGTAGGACGATGTGAGCGCAAAAGGAAGATTTTAAAAGTATTATGGAAAATACATGTCAAACGTTGACGAGTTGAAGATAAAAAAACTGTACATAAAATTTAATATTTTTTTTGATATTTTATAGTTAGATATCGAAAAGAAATATTATGCACTTTCTGTGATGACAAAACAACTTTATTGTCATCATTAGAATGTTCTCAGGCTATAATATAAGTTGCATATCATATATTATGTACATTTGAATTGTGCAGACTGTTAGCAATAACTATAATTGGTTTTTATTTTTAATGAAGTATATATAATATAAGTTATAATGTGTAACATATATACACATAAATATATATATGTTACGGGCAAAAGCCGAAATCGGGCAAACCTCAGAAATGCCCGGGCAAAACGCGAATTGCCCACAATCCTTGGGCAAAATGTCATATTTCGGCTTTTGACCGGGCAAACCTAGTTATGACCAACATCATTTGGGCAAAACCGCTAAAACCGTATACTGACTTTCATCGTAAGGACAAAACCGTAGAGTTTTAAATACGTTCGCTAATATTATAAACAAATTTAATAATTATAAAATAAGTATTATTGTACAAATATATAAAATTAATATATTTAAACCTCACTTGAGTCACTGTAGCGTTTTAAATAACCACTAATATTAAATACAAAAAAATAATAATCATAAAATATTGTACAGATATAATTAAATATAATAATAAAAAAATAATATTTTTGTTTATTTGTTGTTACACATATTAGAACTACACACAATTTAAAACGCTACAGTTTGACTCAAGTGAGGTTTAAATATATTAATTAAGTTTATTTAATTATATTTGTACAATAATACTTATTTTATAATTATTAAATTTGTTTATAATATTAGCGAACGTATTTAAAACTCTACGGTTTTGTCCTTACGATGAAAGTCAGTATACGGTTTTGGCGGTTTTGCCCAAATGATGTTGGTCATAACTAGGTTTGCCCGGTCAAAAGCCGAAATATGACATTTTGCCCAAGGATTGTGGGCAATTCGCGTTTTGCCCGGGCATTTCTGAGGTTTGCGTGATTTCGGCTTTTGCCCGTAACATATATTTATTGAATATAATAATCTATCTTTGATCTATTTAAAAAATGAATGATTGAATACTATTGTATATATTATAATAATATAATAATATATTTTGTCATCATCAATCAAGCAATTTAAAATTAAATGTGTGAGATCAAATCATTTTTTAAATTTGAAAAATATTTTATGAGTAGTAGTGAAAGATTGGATATCAAAACGAAAATAGCAATTAATAATGATCGAATTAAATGAGAAAAAAATTGCAAAAAATCCAAATACGCAATTTTATATGGAGCCGCCCGGATTACGACGGAACGGGTTTCGACCTGCCTACCTAACGTCGGGGGACCTATCCTAAGATCTACCGACTACAGTTTGAGTTGTAATCAACGACCAAATCTCGAGTATTTAAACCGTTTTAGAGATGCGATGAATACTACATTATAATATGTCGTTTAACCGATACAATTTTTACGATTCGCGTGTCACGAAACCGTAAATCGCATATTTATTGTCGTTTAGAGTGTTTCTGACGTATTCGTTTACATTATTTAATCGTATACGTCTTAATATAATGACGATATCGCCCCAAATGTATGCGATTAAAGGCATTACAACGACTGAAGAGCAACGATTTTGCGATGTTTTTGTATAATACAAATAAGGATCTGTTAAACCCGACGCGCGTTTCTTTCTTATACACATAATAAAATAAATCGTATTTCGTACGCTGTCGAGACAGGGCCGGATTTACCTACAAGCAAAATAAGCATTGCTTACGGCCATCGAAAAAATTCGGCACGTAAAATGTCTAGTTTTTAAAAATTAATTATATTACCAGCCAACACGGCAAACGTTGTTTTCCAATATAAAATAAATTATCAAATAAATCCGAACGTTAGTTTTCATTATCTTCTTACAACAATTATACGAAAAAATTTCATTAAAATCGGTTGAGCTGTTTCGGAGAAACACGTTATATTCATTACGCGTTTGTCAAGGTATATACAGCACATGCATACGAGACAGCGAATAATATTATACAAAAGTGTGTAAAAGCCCGTGTTTCGATGGAAAGGCCCGCAGATAATGAAACGCAGTGCCATCAGCTATGGGACGTCAATAACTCATATAAAAATAGGAATTACTTATAATTAAATAATAATAAAAATTTTCGGAATTTCTTATCTGTATACCGTACATTATATTATTATAACATGATATCTTTGTACTTGTCATCCGAACGATCATTTGACGACGGCGAGAATCACAGTCATTTAATAAATATTTATAGTGAATGATGAAATGTTCGTTTATCTATGAACACGTCTTGTGTAGTTGTGTTATAGTATTTAAAAAGTTTTTATAGTGTGGTTTCAAGTAAATATATTTTTTTTGAATTACCGAGAAAAATGTCAAAACCAAAAGGAGGTTGGGAAAAGTTAAAAGAAACTCAAAAGAAAAAGAAGAATGAAGCAGACTTTCTAAAAAAAGTAAATCCTCTTACATCGTATTTTATACCTAAATATACTAACAGTGAAAATACCATTAATAAAGAAGATAATATTATAAATACGAGTACATCGGACTCACATAATGTCCCAAGTATATCGAATTCGTTCACTGGTGCTTCTTCTAAAAATAATGACGTAATTGAGTATTCTAATGATCCCGGAGATTGGAATTTAACATCCCATAATTTAAAATCTTACTTAATAGAAAAAGGGCCGAAATTCTTTCAAAATATAAATGCTGACTTTTCCTTAACAAAAAAATATTATGAAAATCCTAAGGTAAATCGTTGTTTGAACATAACTGCATTTTTCTATACAAAGCCTAATGGTGATTGTTGTAATAGAGAATGGTTACTTTATTCGCCGACTAAAAAAATGGTTTATTGTTATTATTGTATTCTCTTTTCTAAAAATAACATAATGTGTGATGGGTATGATGATTGGCGAAATGTTCAAAAATTTCTTGAAAACCATGCGAAAAAAGGATATCATGTCTTGGCAATTAGTATGTACCTAAATAGAACGAAACTATCGAGTAGAATAGATAGTGAATTAGAAAAACAGTTAACCGAAACACGTGACTATTGGAAAAACGTGTTAAGACGCATAATTGAAACAATATTATTTTTATCGGGACGTGGTTTACCATTTCGAGGTTCGGACGAACACTTCGGGTCAAATCATAATGGAAATTATCTTGGAATATTGGAGCTTCTTTCAAAATTTGACCCATTTTTAGCCCAACATATCGCTGTACACGGAAATCAAGGAAAAGGACACACATCTTATTTGTCCAAAACTATTTGTAACGAATTTGTTGCACTTATTGCAAACAAAACTCGTACAATGATTATAGATCAATTAAAAAAAGCTGGTTGTTTTTCAATAAGCGTTGATTCTACTCCTGATATAACCCATATGGATCAACTAACTATTATTTTGAGATACGTAAGTAATGATGGACCAGTAGAACGTTTCATTACTTTTATTCATATTACAAGTCATACTGGTGCAAATCTTGCTTTGTGTTTACTTAACTTTTTGAAAGAAAATGATATTAACATAGAAAATTGTCGTGGGCAGAGCTATGACAACGCTAGCAACATGAGTGGGACTTATACTGGTATGCAAGCAGAAATAAAAAAGTGCAATTCATTTATTGATTATATTCCGTGTATTGCACACTCGTTGAATCTCGTTGGACAATCTGCTGTAGATTGTTGTGTTGAAGCAGTTTCATTTTTCGGTTTTGTCCAAGAAGTTTACAATTTTTTTTCCGCCTCTACCCAACGCTGGGATATTTTAAAAAAAACATTAGTAAAAAATTGTCCAGTTCCTAAATCCAAATCAGTTACTAGATGGAGTGAAAATGCTGAGGCCGTTAAAGCGTTATTTTTAAGTTACGAGAATATTAATGAAGCGTTAAGAAAAATTCAAAATGATACATTACAAAAACAATCAACTCGACACCAAGCTTCTTGTTTAAGCTCAATACTCGGTCATTTAGAAACTGGCATTATGTGTGAATTATGGCATAATATTCTCGAACCCTTTAATAAGTGTAGTAAAAGCATTCAGAGTGGTATAATTGATTTATATACTGCAATTAACTGAATTGAAAGTCTTAAAATTGTCCTTCAAAATATAAGAAATCAATATGATGAATATGAAAGCAATGGTATGAAAAGAGCTAAGAATGAAGACTATAAATTAACTAGGCATAGAAAAAAATTTAAGAGAAACGAGAGTAGTTTTAATGAACTAAATGCAAAAGAATCATTTAAAATAAATACTTTTTATGTTATAATTGATCAGCTTTATAGTGCTTTGGTACATAGAATTAACGCTTATACTACCGTAAGGGATAATTTTAAGTTATTATCAGACATTTCAATGGACATGCAAATTGAAGACATAGAAGAAGGAATGAAAAAGTTATTAGAAAGGTATCCAAAAGATTTCCCTGATGATTTTACAAATGAGTTTAAACAGTTTTTAAGTTTTTCGTCAACGTCTTTATCATTAATTACAACGAACGAAAATAAGAATAAAAATATTTTGCTTAACATGTATAAGATGATAATTGATTTAAATGTGACCGAAAGTTTTCCAAATATTGAACGGTTGTTACGTTTATATCTTTCTCTTATGTGTACCAACTGTACAGGAGAAAGATCATTTAGCCGATTAAAATTATTAAAAAACGTTTTAAGATCTTCATTATCACAAAATAACCTACAAAATCTTGGAATTTTAAGTATTGAAAGTGAATTTGTAAAATCTCTAAACTTTGAAGATGTGATCCAAAATTTTGCAAATGAGAAATCCAGAAAAAAAGAATTATGTTTTGATAAACAAGTTGATAGTTGCGACGATGACAGCAGCAACTAATGTTATAATAATTTATGTATTTACTTATAATTTAAAAATATATTTTATAAATAAAAATTTTCAATTTATCATAGTTTTGAGTTAAATCATTTTATATTCATTTGTAATATAATATAATAATATTTTGTTATTTGTAGTATTCACTCATCATCACCCCCCCCTAAATTTGGTGAAAGACTATTATATATCTAATAGAAAACAATATTCTTCATATACTCATATATATACCTGTTTATTACCTATATTTATTAAGTAATTAATTAGGCCCATCTAAATAATTTGCTTACGGCCCCCAAAGTACTTAATCCGGCTCTGTGTCGAGACAGTACCGATAAGGTCGCGGAGGCGTCCGAGGGTGGAGACACCGAAAACAAAACGACGCGTATTCGATACGGATAAACGATTTAACGTTTTAACGTATCGTAAAAAAAAAAACAGTAGTGACGATACGACGACCGACCGGAGAACGCGCCGCGAGTAGGGGTCGTGGTTATACACGGTTATTAGAGTACACGTGTACAAGTAACCCGGGTACACGGACTAAAAATATATTAATATCCGTGTTTTTTATACACGGGTATTTTTTACCTGATACACGTGTATTTAATACCCGTACATCGTTACCCGTGTATTTAATACCCGTGAAGTAAACACCGGACTACAGTGTATTTTATTAATTCAGGTAATAAATACATATAAATAAAATTATTTCAAAACCTTATATATTTTATTATGTTGAGATATGATACCAAAATAGTTATGACATAGGTACAAAATAAAAATTATGTTATCCGTTAAAATTTAAAATTGTACGCTATCGTTAGTTGTAATATTATATTCTTATATACGATTATTTTCAACTGGTTTTAACTTTGAAACCATTAAACCCAAAGTTATCTTATCGCCGACTTTACGGCATTGATAGCTTGTTAAAATATTTTGTCAATTTTAAGATTGTTTTATACTATGTAGTGTATGACACCTCGCGCGACGTTTCGTATTCACGGTTGTACGCGATTTCGTTATTTTGATTTGAAAGATGAGTTCAAAAAGTTGGGTGTGGCAATATGGTAAACGTAAAGGTGATAGGGCATTTTGTGATTTATGTGATGATAGATCTAATAAAGAGTTTAGTTGTGCTGGTGGGTCAACAGGATCATTCGGAAGACATTTAAAAGTAATACATAATATCGGAAGAACTATTCAAAATGAAATGTATGTATTTGGAATTATAATTGTTGTATATAGTTGTAAGTTTTAAGTAATTAATAGTTAATACTTAATACTAATAACATTTATTTATTAAAATAATGTATACATAATAATATTATATTGTAGGGACAGTGTTGGGAAAGTTCCTTTTAAAAAGGAACTCTTTCCCGTTCCTATATTTGAAATGGAACGCATTCCGAGCTTCGTTCCTATAAAAGGAACGCGTTCCTTCCCAACACTGTGTAGGGATCATATACAGGGTATTGTAATGATTTCTAGAGCTCTGCGCTATAATTTATATGTTATATTATATTTTATTTTTTTACAACTAAATAAATTTGAATTTTAACACACTTTTGAAAATTGTTTAAAAATCTATGACAAAACCAAATTAAAAGTTTTAAACGCCAAAACGGTTTTAAAATACTTATTTATAAAATAAATATCTTGGAATATAAAAAAAAAAAAATCTATAAACAATTTAAATTATGTATTTTTTTAGTTGTGAAAAAATAAAATAAAATATTACATATAAATTATAGAGCAGAGCTCTAGAAATTATTACAAAAAAAAAACTTATAAATATTGAATAAAAAAAAAGTTATAGCAAATTACACGAGAGAACCAACTCGTATTTAACTCTTTCCGGCATGGTGGCTAGTACAGCTGACCACTTAATTTTTCTGTTTATTGCATGGTGGTTAGTGGAGCTAACCACTTAGAAAATATTTTTTCTTTTTTTTTCATTTCATGGTCGTTGTTGCTGACCATCATAGCTGATTAGTTCATATACCACCAGATGGCATGGGATTTATCAATATTAATTAATACTAAATACATTTTAGTTATGTTGAATTTTCTAAAAATATATTGGTCGAATTTAATTTGTGTTGGTTTTCCCAGGTTATTCATTATTATTTTATCTGTGTATTATGATTATCTTTATTTCCCTTTCTTAGTAGTCTATCTTTCAGTCTAATCGACTTAATTGCTTTACATTGTGCGTAATATCGTCATTTTCGGTGTTCAACTGCAATAACCACCACGCAGTTATTGTCTACATTTATATAATTATACGTAACTATAAATTTAATTTGATTTTTCCTTTATTTCACTCATCTAGACTTCGGTAAGTTACAATATACTTTAGTTTATTATAATTTTTAAATTACGTAAATTGTATAGGAACAAATGTTATTAACTTTTTAGAAATGTTGCGACATACTAGAAGTTTAAGTAAAAAAGAAATTGAAAAATGTTTAATATTTGATGATATACCTTCTGGGTCTGATTTAGAGAGTTCTGATGAAGATCACAATGATTACGATAAAGACCCAGATTTCAATTTGTATTCTGACAATGATGATTATTATTTAGACGAAAATGAAATTGATTTCGCTCCTTCTACTTCTTCAAACTTATATTCCACTTCACTAATCAAAAGACGTAAATTAAATACAAATTTTGACGAACTAGATCAATTTAGCAATGCTACATCAACTATTTCAACTTATTCACAAACAAATGTTCTAAATAAATCTGTACTTATACGTCCAATATATTCTATAGGTGTTCCAACTTGGTCTACAGAATATAATTTTACTTTACCAGATATAATGTTTGATGATTCACAATCAAGTGTTTGTAATGAAATAAAAGAAATGGTTGATATTACTCCTTTGAAAATATTTTTAAAACTTTTTCCAGAAGATTTATTTGAATTAATTGTTTTTCAAACAAATTTATATGCTACTCAGCAAAATAAACTATATAAACCTACTTCTGTTGAAGAAATAAAAATATTTTTTGGAATAAATATGGTTATGGCTATGAAAAAATTACCTAGTTATCGAGATTATTGGTCAACGTTGTAGTAAACCGTATTACGTAAACGCACGGTTTACTTTAATTATGTATAAATTGATAGTATTTCCATGACGCGGAGTAAATCATTGTACTTCGTACTTGTTTTTTTAACCTATTGGCATTGATCCTGTTATGCGGATTCCATATTTATGTAAATTACTAAATTAGCTATTTTTACGTTTTTATCGTGTAAAACTTCTAGGCACTTCTAAGCATGTGAGCCAATCCCGTGGCTCTATAGAAATCACGCCACGGGCATACTTTTATATAAATATAGTAACTAAGTAGTCATTTAGTTAGAATTATTTTTACCTTTAGCTTAACTGCACGTAGTTCTCAGGCAGAGTAACCTCTGTCTTCAAACTTTATTTTGTTAACTTATTGTTTAAATATAAATATAATTTAATAATTATATTATCAGTTTTGTTCTTGCAAACCTTTTATTTTATACTATTTCTACAATCAAGCCCAGCAGCTAGACGTCGGACTTCGTCATTAAATAATTAAGTGTACAAGTGTAGTACGAGAGTACTACATACGTAACTTTTGGTGTCAGGTGTGGGGTTTCCCTCTGAGTGAAAATTTTGATTTATCAAAAAGTAACTTGGGAACTCACTGACGAACTACGACGACTGCACGTTTGGGACGAGACAAAACTTTTAGTGGCGAGTACCTCAACCAACATCAGGGCTTTCCACATCTTCACGTACCAGAGCATTCCGCAGTGACACGTTACCTGAACATTTCAATTTATTTTTTTTTTAAGGACCAGACCATTACAATTATTTAGGTATTTATACCAAACGTTGATAGAGCTCGTGGTTCTATGCAAAATATACTATCAGTTGTCACTCAAGTTGAACATGATTTATACAAACTCTGTAAGTTAATTCTTAATGAAAAAATATACTATTAAAATTAAAATTTGTTTTATTATTTTATAAATACGGAATATAGTTTTCTTAAATATTATTTCACATGCCAAAAATTGCTGTTTGCAAATAAAATCTATTAGACATGGACAATGTGATAAAATTAGCAGATGGTAGACAGTTGACACTGAGGGAAGTAGCTAGTAATAATTCGGTTGCGAGCCCTCGAAGGTACCAGCGTTGTTATTGCAAGACTAGTTGTAATAATAATAAGCATTGTGGGGCTGAAAAATTATGTTATATTAAATGTCATGGGAGTAAAACTTGTAAAAATAAATAAAAAATAATAATGCATTTATTCTATTTTTAAAAATATCTGGGTACTTACATAATTTTTCAAATTGTAGTATTTGAGATTCATGCGCTTATCTGATTTATAACATCAATTACCTGTGTATTTGGTCATTAACGTGATTATCCAGTTTATAACGATAATTACCTATATATTTGGTAAATAACGTTAATTTCCATTTAACATCATTTACCGTAACATATATACAATTTTTATTTTTAAAAGGTATTAATTTTATTTTGTTATTATTCAAAAATAAGGACGAATTTTTTATTATTAAATAGTTTGAACTATAATTAGGTAATTAAAGTTAATTTACTAATTTTATTTTATTTGTAATTGTTGAAAAAATATTCTATAAAACTTAATGATATACTGGAAAATTTTGTTATTATGTTCGTAGCGTTTAGCGTAGCTAACCACCTTAAAATAGCAAATTACAAGGTTAAAAATTAACTAAAAAAGTTTTTTAGTGCTATGATTATTTGTTTGGTAAGTATATACATTAAATGTTAAAAGAAAAAAAATTAAAAAAAAAAAAATTGCTGTGCATCTAAGGTACCATTTTCATTTGCCGCCCTGTGCCTGTGAGAGTTAACTAACGCTATTTTTTTCATCAATTTTACAATGTATATGTGCTGGCCGCCCATTCTTCCCCTTCCACGCGCCTGTTTCAATCCGTCGTTACGACAGCGCTGCGTCGAACTATCTGGCCGCCCAAATTTACGCACGCGCTATATGCTTTCGACGATTCGCGTACGCATTTAGTATACAAATAATAATAATAATAATGATATCGACGGCCGATTTGTGGACGCACAATATAATAATAAACTCACGCGACGATTTGCGTACGCGTTTACAATAATTATACCACGGCAATTCGCGCACGGATAAATAATAAATAGAAAGGCGGCGATTAGCGCACGCACAACAATATATATAAAAAAAACAGCGATTCGCACCACAAAAACAATATAAATTAAATAAAATAGAAAAAAACACAAATTTTCGACGAAGCCGACTCGCGTTTGTCTATAGTTCACACACGACAACGAACGCGAGCCGGAATCTTGCGGTCGTTGCCCTTTATTAATTATTATTAAAATTATTTAATTTTTCTCAGTGATAATAATGATCTTGAAGTTGAAGAGAATAATACGATTGTTGGTATGACACAATGTTCATCATCATCTTCAAATACTTTAAACAGCGATGGTTCATCATCTTCAGAATTTCGTGAACCACCACTTAGGAAACGACGTAGAACTTTTATGAATAAGACCATCGAACCTAATAACATTTGTAGTTCTGAAAGAACAGAACAAATCACCCAGGCGTTAGCTAAAATGATTGCCATTAACCAAATGCCTTTATCATTTTGTTCAAGTTCCGGTTTTCAACAATTTATGGCTATCGTCGAACCAAATTATTTAATATGCAAGGAAGGCGCTATAAAACGAAGACTCAAAGCATATAAATCATCGGTTGAAGAACAAATAAAGAAAGAATTAAGAAATGCTAAGAGTGTAAGTTGTACATCTGACTGTTGGTCGTCAATATCTCTACAATCGTATATAACAGTTACTGCACATTTTATTGATGACCAGTGGTGTCCAAAATCTTACACTCTGACAACTCACCAATTGGAGGACCGTCATACAGCTCTCAATCTAACTAATCAGTTAGAAACTACTTTTAGTAAATGGGAAATCGAAGAAAAAGTTATGGCAGTAGTCACTGATAACGCTAAAAATGTTTTGAATGCAGTCAGTTCACTTACTAATGTTACAGAAAAAAATGACCTTACATGTTCTGCGCATACATTACAACTGGCTGTTAACAATGGTTTAAAATATGAAAAAATAGAAAAATTAATTGAATTAAGTTCTAAAATCGTTGGCCATTTTAAACATTCAAATTTGGCCACTCAATGTTTAAAGGCTAAGCAAGATCAACTTGGTTTACCTACCGAATGTTTAATTCAAAGTTGTAAAATCAGGTGGAACTCCGTATTCATGATGTTGGATCGACTGTATCAAAATAGGTGTCCAGTATCAAATGTTTTTGCTGATCGCACAGTTACTACAGCAGCAATGGCACAAAAGTTTGAAGTAACGGAGAACCAATGGATATGTATAGAAACTATAGTTAAATTACTTAAACCTCTACAAGTAATTACAACTATATTTTGTGGTGAAAAGTATTGTTCAATTTCAATGGTCCGGCCTCTTCTTAAAATTGTTATGGAAAAGCATTTACAACCTCAGATAAATGACGATGAAATTGCTGAAAATTTTAAACATACTGTAATACAGGAATTAAAATACCGTTTTAAGTTAGAATGGAATCCTTCCAGTCACGTGTCTGCTAGACAAATTGCATCTTTTCTCGACCCAAGATACAAAGATTTAGAACATGAAGTAGCAGATGCAAAAGAGGAAATTCGAAAACAAGTCAAGAGTTTGTTAGATGATATTAGTAAAAATAATAGCGATATTCAAATTCAAACATCTGAGACAAAAAACGACTCCAGTGCACTTGCATTTCTATACGGTGATAAGCACAACTGTAATACAGATGATACTACAGTTCAACTTCAAAATTACTTGGCAGAACCACAATTACGGTTTGATTTGGATGCATTGGAATGGTGGAAGACGCGTGCAATGAAGTATCCATTAATGGTTGTTTTAGCTGTTAAATATTTAGGGATACCAGCAACTTCAGTAAGTTCTGAACGGTGTTTCTCGACTGCTGGAAACATAGTTACGGCTAAGAGAAGTTGTTTGGCACCCGAGACATCTTTCCGTGTGTTGCGGGGTCGACCAGTTCTTCCGGGTTGCCCCGGAGACACTCAGCCCCTTGTTCCCTTTATGTAACTGCGGCTGTTCTTCCGGGCGGTAATCCAGAGTTCGGGGTCGTCCACCGGCGCGCTCACCTCGGGCGCCATGAGTGACCGCCGCGGCCTGAGCCCGACGGATTATCGCCTGAGTCAACCCCTTAGCAATACGTAACTGAACGAAGTATTACCA